TGTAGACTATGACCTTCGACCCCACAAGGTATGATCGAAATTTGTCAAATGCATAGACTACAGCAAGAAGCTCTTTCTCCGTAGTGGCATAATTTAACTGAGCATCGTTCAAAGTCTTACTTGTATAGTAGATCACGTGAAATACTTTATTCCTACGTTGACCCAACACGGCTCCCACAGCATAATCACTGGCATCACACATTAATTCAAATGGCAGGTTCCAATCCGGTGTGATGATTACAGGTGCTGAAGTCAACTTCTCTTTCAAAGTATTAAAGGCCTGCAGACACTCGTCAGTAAACTCAAATGTGGACTCTTTCATCAGTAAACAGCACAGAGGTTTGGTAATTTTTGAAAAATCCTTGATAAACCTTCTGTAGAATCCAGCGTGCCCAAGAAAACTGCGAACACCCTTCACTGAGGTAGGTGGTGGTAAATTCTCGATTACCTAAATCTTTGCCCTGTCCACTTCGACACCCTTTGCTAAAATTTTGTGCCCTAGTACGATACCTTCTTGCACCATAAAGTGACATTTCTCCCAATTCAACACCAAGTTGGTCTCCGTACACCGTTGTAGCACAAGACTTAGATGCTCCAAGCACTCATCAAATGAAGATCCAAACACAGAGAAATCATCCATGAATACCTCGATGTATTTCTCAATCATGTCTGAAAAAATAGCCATCATGCAGCGCTGAAAGGTAGCGGGAGCATTGCATAATCCAAATGGCATCCTTCTGTATGCAAAGGTGCCGTAGGGGCACGTGAAAGTGGTCTTCTCCTAATCGTCTGGTGCCACTGGAATCTGATTATACCCGGAGTACCCATCTAGGAAACAGTAGTGCGAATGCCCTGCTAATCTCTCCAACATCTGATCGATGAATGGTAATGGAAAATGATCCTTTCGAGTAGCTGAGTTAAGCTTACGACAGTCAATGCACACTCTCCATCCAGTCACCGTCCGTGTAGGAATCAACTCATTTCTCTCATTTTCTATCACCGTGATTCCTCCTTTCTTAGGAACAACTTGCACTGCACTGATCCATGCACTATCTGATATTGGATAAATAATGCCCGCATCGAGCAACTTCAATACCTCAGCTCTAACCACTTCCTTCATGTGTGGATTCAATCTCCGCTGCCCATCAATGCTTGGTTTAAATTTTTCCTCCATGAGTATCTTATGCATGCATATGGATGGGCTGATCCCCTTTATATCTGCAATAGACCATCCAATAGCTGTTTTATTCTCCCTTAACACCCGAAGTAGTTTCTCTTCCCCTACCTCACTGACAGTGCTTGAAATAATAACAGGTAGTGTAGAAAATTCCCCCATGTACGCATATCGAAGATGTGGTGGCAGTTGTTTGAGTTCCAATTTGGGTGGTTTCACAATAGATGGCACTGATTTTGCAGTTCTAGTTCCCAGCTCTTCATAGTAGCGTCTGCACATATATGGCTGGTTACTCTCCAAAAACCTAGCACATGTCTCAATCTCACTTGATTCAGAGTGGGTGGATTGTGAATGTGC